TGGCGTCCCAAGCCAGTTCTTAACCATCGCGCCACTCGGCCGGCCCTATGACTGCTTTTTGCATTTTGCACGTGCAAGGTATTTGGAACACAGTAGGTGTGGAAGTGGGACGAGGGTGACTATGTATTTACCACTTGAGAAAAGCAACATTAGTGACCTAAGGCCTCCAGGCCTGTTGGGCAGCAGTTCCGTAGGAGACCCATAAACTCAGCCAAACTCTTGCCTACTCCTTGAGGGTGAGCCAGGAGAGGCCTGGAAGGGAGGGAAGGAAGAGACCATTTATTCTCCTGACCTTGGGCATGTCTTCTGTTAGGGTGGCCCCTGAGGCATCTGGACCAGGCTTCCCCCACAGTGCTGGCCTGGCACGGATGCCATTCCCAGAAGAGCATAAACAAGGGAGACCCTGAAAATACCTTTTCCTGAGAGAGACTGAGACTAGCTGGATGGGGCAGCTTCAGTAACAGGATCCGTTGAGTACAAATCATGAGTTCAAGTGAGATTCCCAATAGCTGGGCGAGTAAAGTTGTGTGGAGTTCTTCCTTCCTCTAAACAAAACTGCATGAGCACACTCAGTCTTCCTTTCCTTCTATCATGACCATCTGGCTTTATTCCTTTAGGTCCCTGTTTCCCCTTCAGTAATGGAAATAGGATTCTCTGTTCTTGCCTCGGTGTCCTCCCTTGCAGGGTGAGACCAAAGTAAGGCAAGTGTTGCTGTCACTTTGGGTGCAAAACTTAAGGGCACGCCAAAAAACTCGGTAATCAAGATAAATAACATTTTAATGCAGTATTTTAAAAATTCAAAATTAATGCAAAAATCCATGATGAACCAAATACTAAACTTTAAATGTTAAAGGCGAGATCCTATCCTTCACTTTCACCATCCTGCCTCACTCACCTCTCTAGTCCTAGTCCCAATAAAACTTTATTTACAGAAACAGGTGGCCAGCCTGTAGGCTGGGGTTGCCAATATGATTCTTTAAAAAGAGAAATTCCTTATTATATATTTTTTATTGTGATAAATATACATAATATGGAATGTATAGTTCTGTGGTATTAAGTACGTACATTCACATTGTTGTGCAACGGTGCATTTTTTAAAATATTACATTAAAATGTTATATATTGTGATTACTGAATTTGGAGCCGTCCTCTTAAAATTTGCCCCGGAGCCCAGTGCCTCACTCTCCTTACTCTTAAGCCTTGCCCTGCCTCCCCCGTTTTTTGCCTCTTCCTGGAACCTGAGAATGGAAAACTGCAAATTTCTCCCATCAAGCAGCATCAGAAGAGTTATTCCAGTGGCGATCAGGCCACCGAGGATGTCTTCCCAGAGAGCCACTGGAGACAGGAAGATTTGCTATTTCTGCATCCGCGGGCCCCCTTGGCTCTCCGCCTGCGATGGGACACACCTGGCGGGCGTGTCTTCTACCTGCCCAGGCCCACCTGGCGGGCGGCCCGCGGCGCCTGGCACGCCCCCCTCGGGTCAGCCGCGTTTTCTGCCTGCCAATGAAAAAGGATGTCCCTCAGGGCTCGGGCAGCGGCCAATGGGAGCGCGGCATGCAAATGAGCAGGTGCGGTGGCGGCCCGCGGGTCTAGGCAGCCGCGGCTCAGGGGATGTTAGAGGCACGCTGGGCGGCTGCCGAGCAAACGTCCGGGCTTCGAGCTGCGAGCTCCGGTCTCCCGCCATGGACCCCGCTCCGCCCCCAGACGCCTCCTTCTCACTCGCGGAGGTCCAGCAACGTCTTGCTGCCGGCGCCTGCTGGGTCCGCTGCGGGTCCCGCCTCTACGACCTCACAGGCTTCTTGCGGCAGCACCCGGGGGGCGAGCAGCTGCTGCGGGCACGGGCTGGCCAGGATGTTAGCGCCGACCTGGACGGGCCGCCGCACCGGCACTCGGACAACGCGCGTCTCTGGCTGGAGCAGTATTACGTGGGCGAGTTTCAAGGAGACCCTCAGGTACAGCCGGGTCCCGGGTCACCGCACCCAACAAACACACTCCCCTCCCCCCATCCCCCAACTCTCCACTCCCTGCAAGACCCCTTCACCTGCCCTCTAGGAGGACCCAAGGTGACAGCCTCCACCCTCACCTTTGCTTCCCTTCTCCTGTCGCCAGTAAACAGGTCACTGCCCCCCCTGCCTGGGCCCTCCTCACCAGGAGCTTGCCCTTCCTCCCTAGCCTTTCCCCTGACCCCCTTAGGTCTGTTACTTGTCCCACCTCCCAAGTCACCACCCCCGCTTCCTACTTGTTCGTTCTGTAGCTTCTGCCATCTGACAACTTGGGTCGCCCTTTCTCAGCCCCTCATATGCCTTACTTTCTGTTCCCTTATTAGCCTCTTCTTCTTTGCAACTGCTCTTCAATTCTGTTTGAATAGTTGCTTCCAAGCTCACCTGTTCTCCCCTCCCCATCTCACCCTACTCCTGCTCCCAAAAGGCACAGGTCACTCACCCTTCTCAGCTAGCCTGGCTTCCCTGGGACCTCCCTAGTCTTGCTTTAGGGCTCCTCTGGGTGGGCAGAGAGGTCAGGGCAGTGTCTTGGGTGGACTCTGTCCTCCTCAGAACTCCATTCCTTGTCTTGCCTGCTGGCTTGGGTGTCCAAAAGGGGGAAATGACAGGGCTGAGCCAGTTTGGCTGGGGAGAAGGGATTAGCACTTTGAGCTGTACACTGCTGAGCAGTATAGGCTCCTTATGGTATTTAAGCCTCTAATTGAGTCGGGTAGGTTTTGTTATCCCCTTTTTAGGATGTGGAAACTGAGGCTTCAGGTGGCTCTGTAATTTGTCCAATGTCAAATAGCTAGTTAGTGGAAAAGCCAAGTTTACCTGACTCCTAAACTGATAGTGTCTCCATTCCAAGGATCCTTGGGCATGGGAGATCGCCCTATCTACAGGGCGCCAGGCAGGCTCAGGCCAGTGGTTCTTCCCAGGCCTAGCTGTAGGACTGGTGACAGTCCATTATGCTTGGACATAAACCAACAGTTGATCCCTCCTTTCAGCTCCTGCTTTCAAGATGGCCCTAGCAAGTGCTTTTAGATCTTTGGATAAAAGGACTTGTTTCTCACTGTTTCAGGTGGCTCCTCACTGGGCTATACTGCCTAATTCATCAATCATTTATTCACTCACTCACTTAGTCCCTTAATGGTTGGCAGCACTGAGCTAGGCACTGAAGAGGCACCAATGGATAAAACCAACACTGGTCTTCGTGGCGTTATCAGGCTAATGAGGAGAGGGAGGGAATGTACTAATTGCACAGTAATTATTTAATTATCTGGTGCTAGCAGAGTATGGATCTGGAGGACAGGGGTTCAGGGAGAGCTTTCTTGAGAAAGTAACATTTACACTGAGAGCTATTCAATGGATAGGGCTTAGCTAGGTGAAGTGTGGTGGGAAAAGCATTCCAGCTAGAGGGATCAGCATGTGTGAAGGCTCTTAAGGGTAAGGGCTTGGCACAATCAAGGGACAGAAATAAAAACAATGTGAATAGAGGCTGGTGGGCAAGGAGAGGGATGTGGGAAGAGGCCAGAGATCACCTGGGGCCACGTCATGCAGGGCCTCCTAGGCTGTGGTCAGGATTTGGGACTTGATTCTAAGAACAATGGAAAGCCAGGGAAGGGATTCAAGCATGGGTGGGACATGGTTAGATTTGCATCTTTGGACGAGCACCTCAGCTGCAGTGCAGAGAGGAATGGAGGGAGCCCAAGTGAGTGTGAGGAGATCAGGCAGGAGGCTATTGCATAGCCTGGGAGAGAGGTAATGGTGGCTGGCACTACAGTAGCTGTGACTGAGGGGAGAGGACGGTTGAATTTTGGGAGATTTCATAGGTAAAATGCCAGGACTCAGCATTCTGCAATGGGAGCCCAATTTAATCTTGGAGTTGATGTTTGATGTCAGGTCCTACTGAAGGGGCAGAGGGTTTAGCAGTAGATACAACTAAAGCTGAGTGCAGGAAATGAAAAGTTGGGACCAAAATACTAGAGACTTCCAGGCTTGTGATGGCTCATGGGAGCCATCCTACATCGTAACTGTGTTCTATAAACAGAAAGAAGCCTTAGGGTGTGGCTTCTCCCAGCACCACCGTGAGCATCACTTCTGGCCAGCTGCCCTAGATGGCTCCACCTTCCAGCTCTGCTGACCAGCCAGCACTATGGTTTGATTTTGCTTTGCTTTGCAACCCTCAGGGATTGCATTCAGAGAGTAGTACATCCAAAATGGCTTCCTACACCTACAGTCACCTGTTATCCAAGAGTCTCAGTGTGGCCATGTTGCAGTCATCCTTGTATCTGGGCCCCACCCTGAAGATGTGGCAGGGAAAAAAAAGAACTAACAACTAATAACACACTAACACCCTGTGGCCCAAACTTTACCAATGGCCACACTTGCCCAATAATCCAGTTGCCTGCAGCTTCTGTCTACAGATGTCTATTCTAGAAACTAGTGTAAGGTTGTCCGGTTGTCTTTAATTTGGGGGAGAGAGGCAATTAGGGGAGAAATCTGGAATGGGGTATACTTTCAGAGAGAAACCCTCTTCTTAAGGCCTGAGTGGAGACAAGACATTTCTGTTTTATCTAGCCAAGCCCTTCTAACAACCTCCATGCTGCCTTCTCTACCTCCCTGCTCTCCTGCTGGACCAGGAAGGCTGACATCTGTGGAGGTTACAGCCTGGCTCTTGTAATGTGAGGACCAGGAGGGGTGTTGATGGAAAAGGGGAGTCTCATGAACCCACTCTGTTGTTTGGGGCTCATTTCTGAATGGTGCCCCTCTTAGGGGGTCTTTGGAGGGGAGCGTCCTGGAGCTCTACTGTGAAATTTCCAGGGAGAAGGCCTGGCCCCATTGGGTTCCCCTGTTCCCCACTTTGCCACACCCCTCTGTGTACACACTTACACATTCACACTCACACGAAGGCACACACACAAAACAAGTCAAACTCGTTTAAGCCAACATACTGTGGGGACAAGGTCTGCTGTGGTCGTGGCCTTGGACTTGATGAAGCCGGGCAGCCCACCTTGAGCAAGTGAGAGAGCAGTGGCTGAGCAGGAGATCTAGGTCCTCTTCTCACCGTGGCCCACAGGGGCCCATAGGGTGAAGCTCCTCACTCCCAGCGCAGGTAAGAGCCTTGTTCTTCCAACTGCAGCTCACATAGTTAGTGGGGCATGACATCCATTTATTAGTTGCAACCAGCATTTATGAAGTATATATATAAATAAATAAATAAATAAATAAATAAATAAATAAATAAGAAATAGGAAAGGGGAGAACTTTGGGTCCCAACTTCCTCCCAAGGCCAAGTGTTTCCCAGACTTGGGTCATCCATGAATCACTGCCCCAGTTTTTTTCCAAATCAGCATACCATTTGAACTTTTTAATATTTATCTTTAACTAGACTCACCTTTTATTTTCACATTTAGTCACTCTAGGCAATAATACCAATGAAACCACAGGTTTTATGTGCACTTTAAAATAAATATAGACCTATTAAAATAAGAAATGCTCATCCTCATACCCCCTCAAATCATCTTAGGCACCGTCAGTGAAGTATATATCACACCTTGGAAAACATGGAGCAGAGCTTCTTAACCCTGGTGTTCTATGGATCATTTTCTGAAACTGATGAAAGAAATGAAATTGTGTGTAAAAAAAAAAAGGCATGGTTGTGCCTTTTTCTGGTGAGCGAGCTACAGTTTTCATCACAGTCCTTCCCTCACTCCAAACCTGTCACCAAGATTATAACACCTGTGAAAAGGTGGCTCATAGGTCCCCATTTTACACACAGACCTCTAGAGGTCCTCCTGCGGGCAAATATCTGACCACACCCCTGGATAAAAGCCTTCTGAGAAGACGCTGGAGGAAGGCAAGCCTCAGCTCCCCAGCCACTGCCGCTGGGGTCGCCCTGATGTCTGAACGTCTCTGTGTGCCATGTCCTAATCTCCCAGGTGCATCCACCTCTGAGTGGCAGAGAAGTCCACAGATCCTGCCACATATGGCTCTGCCAGGCTTTGGGGTCTGGCCACTCAGCACTTTAGGGCTTGAGTAATTACATGGCTTTGGACGGTAGGGAGGAGAGCTAAGTGCACTAAGACTCAGGATTCTCACCCCACCCCAGGCTCCAGAACATCAGATAAAAAAAAAATGATCCTTGGGGAACTTGCTAAACTGCCCCCGTCTGCTGAGCACAGTGGACGTGAGAAGTCTGATAACTGAAGGAGGTTGAGATCTGTTTTGCATACAAGAGGGCTTCCCAGTTGAGCCTGCCTGGCCAATCAGCAACCACCATCCTTTGCTACCTGTCAGAGACTTCTAAGCTCTGGCCTGCTGTGGTGCCAGGCAAGTCTTACCTAGGGCCAGCTGGTAAAGCGTGCAGGGACCCAGGTCACCATGGTTCCATGTGACACTGAGCCATGTGACACCAGGCTCCAAGCTCCAGGTGTGCTCCTTGGTGTCACCCCAGAATTCAGTGAATAAAGGGGCTCAAGACCCAAGATGGGGGAAAGATCAGAAATTAGGACTCTCTGGGGGAAATAAAAGCAAACAAACCAGAAACACCTGAGAGTCATCATCTTGGGGAACTTTCCCAGGAAAGAACTCAGGCTGATATCTGAGCAGCATCCATCATCTTCCCTTTCCTTATTTATTTATTTATTTTTCTTATGACACACATTCATTGTTGGTCCATATCTTCTCGTCATTCATTTAGACAGACAGGTGATAAGCACCCTGTTCTCTCTGAAACCCACCATCGTGCCAAAACGGCCCTAGCCAGGGTCATCTGGACCTTCACCTCACTAAACCCGGTGGGCACCTTATCTTATCTCAACTTATCTCACCTGGCCTGGGAGCAACTCAACACGGTGATCTCTCCCCATTCTTTGCTACACTTGCTTCACTTGGCTACTACCCAAGTAAAACATATACTACACCCTTTTGGTTTTCCACCTGCACTCGTTTGCTATCGCTGCTGTAACAAA